AGTGTAAAAACGCTTTTGTATGAGGAACTACTTTCTTCCACCAGTCATTCACATCTCTCCACCATTCATTCACATCCATAATGTCTAAAGTGATGACAAAACAGGTGATTTTGCTCACATTTTACGATTATAAAGCTGAACGGCATGAAATGCCATCAGTCTAGAGACATTTCCCAGTATTTCTCTGTTGCAATCTGGATATCGCAATAATTAACCCCCAAAAAAGCCAAAGCATAGCAAACACTAGCAGATTACTGTTGAGTTTGTGATAAGGAAAAATGCTAAACATGCTAAACACATGCATTGAAAAGGGAAAAAATTCCACCACCCTGTCCAAATTTTAAGGATACCGGCTGTCAGATTTGCACATTTCATATGCTCAACGCTTTGGCTTGTTTCCCTCGCTCGAAAACTTGACAGAGCCCCTGCGCGTAGCTAAGCCACGATTGGTGGGTGGCGGTTTTTGGGTGTGGCTTAGCGAAGGGTCAATTCTAACAATTAACAAACAATTAACTACGATATACATAAACTAAATGGGTTTATGTATATCGTAATAATTAACATGTAATTAGACAGTAGTTAACAATGGAAATTGTTGCTTGAACTAAATTGTTATCCATTTTTTTCACCCCTTTATAAATGATTTAAAATGACATAGGTCAATGCAGAATTCAACAAATACTAAAACTAAAGTAACATAAAAACATTTGTTGTCGTGATCATTTTTGGTCATCTTCGCTATTAACAAACCATTAACTAAGACTTTTAGCTTAATAAAGTCCTGATTTGCTGCTTATAAATAGTAAATAAGGTATAATTGGGTTTATGATTCAGATGTAGAATAGCATACTGTATAAGTTCTAATAAACAGCCAAAATCTTAAGTATTAAGTAATCTTAAATATTAAGCATGTAATAAGCCAGTAGTTAATAGTGGGAACCTCTACTGTTATCCATTTTTTCACCCCATTATAAATTACATAAGCATATGCAGAATTCGACAAATAGCTCCTGAATTGATTACTTCATGTTTAAGTACTATCTTATCTATGCTGTGCTCAGCAGGGGAGCAGCTGGCAGTCTTAAGGTTGACTGATAGCAGACCTACATATTTGACTCATTATAGAAATAACAGAGTCTGGTGTATGTGTGGGGACATAGGTCACTTAAAAGCGCTTAGGTAATCACTCAATAAGGGCTCTTTGAGGGGTTTGTGTCCACCAAGGATGGACAATCTGCTGATGTTTTCTTGGTTTGTGGGAAGATAAGGCTGTCTAAGCGTACACGTTCCTTATCTCTCCTGTACACGAGAATAGGCTGCAGCACTAGGAGGACTAGAACTTTCGAAAAACTCATCGGGGACATCATGTCCATGGCACTGGATGTTAATCTGATAGCATATCTGCACTATTGAGAAGCCCCCATTGTTCTGATGAGTTGCATACAGGCTAGAAGCACTTTTTAGAGGCAAAGAATACATTATCTAGAGGGAAAAAAGAAAGGGATTGAAGTCAGTGGTGGAAATAGTGAAAAAATCATACTTAATTATCAATACTTGACAAAAAGATGTAGTGTAAATATTATTTATTTATAAACAAATAAGTGAAAAGTAGCCCTCTAGCGCTGTTGAGGCTCCTACAGACTGGGACGTTTTTCGTGTACGTTTATCGTCATCGTTTTACAAGACGTTTTTCCGCATTTAAACACAAGCGATTTTTCATTCACAAGCGATTCACATTGATGCCCTTTATATAGTCACGAGGCAAAAAAACGTCTCAGTGTGCACGGGCCTTTAGACTTGCTGCAATTTTACGGTTATTTACTGTAAAAATGTCTAGTTAAGTGTCAAATACACTCTTTACAGTTCAATACTGCAATATGCAATGCATGGTGGGCCATTTTACAACTTTAACAGTAACTTATTGCATATAAGAAATTTGCGGTATTATACTGCAATCAAAACGCTTGAGTATGCTGTTAAACTTTGCCGCAATTTTAAAGTTATTTACTGCAAAAATGCATGGTAAAATACCACATACATTCTTTAAAGTTCACTACTGTAATGTTCTTTGTATTGTGGGTCATTTTAAACTTTTACAGTAACTTACTGCATATTAGGAATTTGCAGCAATCTACTGTAATCAAAGTACTTGAGTACTCTGTTAGACTTTGCTGCAGTTTTACAGTTATTTACTGCCAAAACGCCCAGTAAAATACCACATACATTCTTTACAGCTCACTACTGTAATATGCTCTGCATTGTGGGTCATTTAAATACTTTTACAGTAACTTACTGCATATTAAGAATTTGAGGTATTCTACCATAATCAAAGTCATCAAATAACTAAAACTTATGTAGAATTGGTCACACTGTAGAATTAAAATGTGGTAAATGGCATTTTACCATAAATATAAGTTGCGGTAAGGTTATTTTACTGTAAAGAAATGAAATTGCAGTAGGGCTCTGCAACTGTAAAACACACTTACAGGTAAGTTGCTGTAAAGGGGCAGTTGCTTTAGCTTGCTGGAAACATTTAAAGGAAACCAAAGATCAATACCTGTTTTCAGGTGCAAACATTCATCGCTGTCAGCAAAAGCTTCATGAAGCTTTTTAACTTTTGTGCGATAATGTTGGCATCCAGCGGAATTTTCTTTTTCCTGCAGTCACTGACTCCATCCTTAAGTGGGTCACACATTGGATGCGCCACCCGCATGACATTTTTAAGTAACACACACTGAACGTGCACATTTGCATGTTATTTAAAATGAAATTATTCAGATGGTACTCTGTGGTGCGGCAAAAATATGAACTGTGTCCAGAGTCATAGCTGGATGCTGGTGTGCATACCCTGATATAAACCTATGTTTACAATTCTAAAATTCATAGCGCTGCGTGGTGCGGAGCATCCAGTGTTGGACCCCCTTTATGACGGTCTTGCTGCAGACAGTTATAACCCTTTTTGCATCCTTGTTGAAACTCACACTGCTAGCGATCGAAGATTTATGTTAATTTAGCAAGCTGAAACTGTACAGAAGACACATAGGAGATTGATTGACAATGGTCTACAGCCAATCAGCACAATGAGGTGTAAAAAGAAAAAAAGCATGTCAAATTGCACTATAAAAATCTGCGAAACTGTGAGGGTGAACCCAGTTATAGAGAGGGACCACTGTACAACGCTTAAGGCAAAACTACTTAACATTTAAAAAATGATGTTTGCTGTTTGTTCATTTAAATCACCTGAAACAACACAATTATTGAAGTTTTTGGAGGAAAACTTTATTGCTTTTTGTTTAATCTACTTTAATGTGTTAAAAACTAATAAGTGAACTTAAAGGTGCAGTAGGTGATTGTCTTCAGAAGCATTTTTTGTTGTGCTGGTTGAAAGTTTCTTCACAGTCTAATAGTAATGATTCAAGTAAATGATCTAAATGTATTTATATTTATTTTTATATTTTGGGTATAAGGCATAAAACTAAAAAATGTTCATCCAATTAAATAGAGTCGGACCGACATCTCTCATAATTCCGATAAGTAGGCGAAACTGTCTGTCAGCAAATGCAGATTTGAACAACTGCGCAGCTGTTTGTACGCATCTCCGCCGACCGATGTTGTTGCTGCGCGTTCACAAAAGAGGGCGCGTGTGCGCGATTGGTAAAAACCTGCTTAATCAAAACTTGTTAAAAACCTGAATCAATATTGGAGTTACCATTGCACGCTGGAGTAAGGATAAAAAAATGGCTGAAGGATTTCTCGTAGAAGGTAATGTTCTGTTTTAAAACCATTTGAGCTTCACTTAAAGTGGATGTAATGCTAAATGTTGTTACAAATGTGTTATATCTTCACAGAAGTGTTGTTCAGCTACTAAAATCTTCCGATGATAGATTGATAAGACTATTTTCAGTTTCATAAGGGACCTTTTACAGCATTTGTAATGTAGATTTTAATTTGTTTAACAACAAAACACAATTAAATAGCGCTATTCCGCCTAGTCTCACCCTATATTGTTTACCATGCAACTCTAAAGGCCTACTCACACTATGCCATCCGTACCATGCCCAGGCCCGTTTCCCGGATCGTTTGAGAAGTGTGAGTGCGCTGAATCGGGCTCAAGCACGGTTCACTTGGCCGGCTCTGGCCCGGTTGGAAGAGGTGTGCCTGAGTGCGGTTCATTTGGGCTTTGGCGCGGTACGCTTGTGTGTGAGTGCAAAACGCGCCAAAGCCCGAAACTGAAAGCGATACGTGACTGTTCGGCGAAATATCTGACTGCGTGTCACCGCATCCCTAAGGACTGTTTGGCGAAATATTTGACTGCATGTCACTGCATAACAAATGACTGAAACGATATAACAAGAGAAATCTCCACTGTGCTGCTGAGTGAGAGAGTGCTTCTCACTGAACAGTGCAGCAGCGATGACGTAAGCGTGCCGAGGCCCATTTGTGGTGTCAGCGCGGGCCGTCGGGGAGACGGGAGGGGGGGGCAAGCGTGCTTTGGCCCGGTTCGAGGCAACTGTACCTAGTGTGAGTACGGCCTAAATATTCACTCTGAAATAGCATGGCAGTTTGACTTGCTCGCCACCGGACAAGCACTAGTCGCTTTTAACACAAGAGAGTTTTTTTTTGCTGTTCTCGTGTTTAAGGAGGTGTGGCTCTAGACGGCAGGAGAGAGAGTGTTATTCAGAGATTTATGCTAAGCTGTTAGCATTGTGAAAGATCACCTACTGCACCTTTAATTCCTTCATGTTGCCCCAACACAAATCAATTATGTGGAACCCACAGTGAATTACACTCATTTGAGGATTTGTAATCCATTACTTTACACCGATGAAATTTGATTTATTGAAAGAAATGTTTTTAGGATTAAATGTTTTCTGATTTTGTCTTTGTTCGCCAGTGTACACTTTCTTCTCTTCTGCCACCCTGACAAGGCCTTAATGTGGAAACTCTTTTCACCCGTCTTCAATGAGGTAGTTAATTTAGTCTCTCTCTATTCATTACAGGTCACTTTCCCAACAAAGCCATGCCCTCAGCAGGCACCCTGCCCTGGATCCAGGGCATCGTCTGCAATGCCAACAATCCGTGCTTCCGCCACCCAACCCCAGGGGAATCTCCCGGAGTCGTTGGGAACTTCAACGATTCCATGTAAGCGGTCGCCTGCGGCTGAAGATTTCCAAATAACAGCTGTCAGCTCTGATGTAGCCTGTTACACGTAATATAAGACATTGAGTATTGCACAGTCTAGTAGTAATCATGAGTTCTTTTTTATTTCAGAATCTCACGCCTTTTTTCTGATGCCAAGAAGATCTTGTTGTATAGTCAAAATGACAAGAGCTTGGATGGGTTCAAGGAGCTCATCGACGCTGTAAAAGTCATGCAAAATAACACGGCCGGTGAGTAGATTAGTCTACAATTTAACCCTCATTGGAAAGACCATTTGGTTTTATTGGGAGTTTTTTATGACTTGAAAAAATTTATATTGTAATCAACGTCAATGATGATACCATACAGCAGGGAAAATAAGTATTGAACTTGTCATGTTTTTTCCTGGGAAAATTATTTCTTAAGGAGCTGTTGACCTGGAATTGAACCAGATTTTGTGTGGATCAACAATGAAATGACATTGAAATAAATTTTTTTTTGTGATGGCAACTTAAAGACGCCTCTCCTATGGAGAATGAAGTAACATGCATTACTCAGCTGTGAGTTTTTCACAGACATTAGCAGAGTGTTAAAATCTTGATGGTTCTGTGGGTCTTGTCTATCAAATGTGGTCTTTAATTTGTATTGTCGAGCAAACATCCAAACGTCATTTTGGCATCACATGCTGACACTTCCATGATTTTCATGGAAAAACAAAATGCAACATCCCTGTGACACTGGGGTACAACTTCATTCTGACATCATGTTGACATCTTGTGCCTGTTGGATGTTTAAGGCCATTTCGATTATCATACAGTAAACATCTGTCATCTTCTCATCAGTGAAGTGCATTTTAACAGTCTCTGGGTCAATGCATGGAAAGATTTTGGACATCTTGTACACTTTTAATGCTTCCCAACAGTTTGCCGCAATTATAAAGCGCACAAGTTTTGAGGTAGGGTTGGGTATTGTTTGGGGTTGTTTCAATACCTGTGCTAAATTGATACTTTTAAAACAGTACCGGTGCTAAAACGGTGCCTGAACCGATACTTTTTAGCCACAAAATTATTTGACCAAAAAAAATAAAAAATTATATATATATATATATATATATATATATATATATATATATATATATATATATATATATATATATATATATATATATATATATATATATAATAAGTTTAAAGTAGTGCTGTCAATCGATTAAAAAAATTAACTAATTAATTGCACCTTTAAAAAAAAATAATCGTGATTAATCACATTTAAAATACTGAAACTTGTAATTTTGGCTATTCAAATGTAAAATTAATGTAAACGCAAGACAAAAACCCAAGAAAAAACACCGCATCCCTCCTAGACTTCAGGTATGTCGCGCGCAACTCACCCCCACCGTCCTTCAGGTACGTTTCGCGCGCACACGCCCCTATTCAGATACGTCGCTCACTCTACCCCTGACACCCCTCAACGGGCCTGACACAGACACACACACAACGCGCTGGAGCGACTCCCTTCAGATTCAACATGCATGATCGCGTTCATCAAATTTGCTTAAACTAAGCGTTCTAAAGTATTACTGTATTTCACAAGGATTCTGACTCAACAATGTGAAGCATACACTTTCGTTGCGTTTAATGAGGAAACACGCTAAACTTGGAGGGCTCATGCTGAAAGGCAGAGTAATGCTGTCTTTGACAGCTCGCGACTTCACCAGAGACTTTCTGAGTACATTTACATAAGACACCAATACTCCGATTTTAATACGATTAAGATAATACTCTTATTAAAATTCTACCGTGTAGCCTAAGCAGCGATTTTATTACCTTAAAGCAGTGGTTCTCAAACTTTTTTCTATCAAGTACCACCTTAGAAAAACATTGTCTTTCCAAGTACCACCAAAATGAGCAGCATTGAAATACTGTAGCGTAGTTGGACCAGTAAAGCAGCTAAAACTCTGCACAGTTAAAAAACCTGGCAGATTACCTCAGAAATATAGCCTATATATAATATATAGCATATTATATACATCATTTTTAATAAATTTTGAATTATATGTAGCATGTATATGACATATTTCATTCCTCCGTGTACCACTAGAAGGAAGCCCGCGTACCACTAGTGGTACACGTACCACAGTTTGAGAACCACTGCCTTAAAGGAACACCGAGTCACGAAATGCGGAGGATTTTCTTTCTGTTCGCCATGCGGTATCAACTTACAACAGAAAGTTAAAAATAAAACACCCGAAATTGCATGAAACTATGGAGAGCCTGGTGATGCGACTAATTGTTTTATACTGAAACTTGCCTTCAAAAAGTGCTTCCTTGGTCTTATCCACATTTCTTGCATGCTAAACACACGTCCACAACAACAGGAAGTAAAAAAAACCTGCAACTGCGTTAATTGCGTTAATTTTTTTAACGCGTTAATTATTTAAAATTAATCGCATGCGTTAACGCACTAATTTTGACAGCGCTAATATATATATATATATATATATATATATATATATATATATATATATATATATATATATATATATATATATATATATATATATATATATATATATATGTATTTATTAGGGATGTAACGGTATCAGAATTTCACGGTACGGTAATACCTCGGTATCAATGTCACGGTACGGTATTTATTGAATCATTTACAGGAAAAAACAAAACTTATGAAAATACTCCAAAAAAGAGCCAAAAGTGTCAATGACATACAAATTAGCCATCTATCTGTAAGCTTTGAAACAGGAACTTCAATTTTAATAACAAAAAAAATATTAAACCATGTAAAAAAAAATTTAAGTTTTTAATTTAGTATTGTTGAAAACTCATCACATTCAACATTTAATCACTCACTCACTTAGATAGAGATGGGTTTAAAGGAAAATTATCATATAAATATAATCTGGTAAAAGCTGGTATCTCTGGGCATTTACAATGTCCCCTGCAACAGAAAAAAAACCTCTCATTTGGTACTGAGGTTTCTGGGACAAGAGAGATATGACTTATATGACTTATTTCTCGAGCGCCGAAAACGGAGCTTTTTGAAAACGCTGGAGAGGCCGTTTTCATTCTGAAACCTGCTTCTCCGTCTCAGTGTGGATGGGGAAAGACGGAGACATCTGAAAACGGAGGCGGGGCTGCAAACGTTCGCCTATCTGATTGGGGCTTTTCCTCAATATTAAGTAGCCCACACACAGTTCAGTCTCGCATCCTCTTCTTGTAAGTTAAGACTTCGCAAGTTTGATCAAGGCTGCAGTCTCCCCCTTCTCAGTTTGATATGGAAAACATACCGAGGACACGCGTAAATCTTCAAAGGGAACAGTGTACTTTATAACTTCATTCACATCACCTTGGCTACGTTGTTTCACTTTCTCAACAATAAAATGTAAACATGATTTAAGGAACTGCCTATTTCCTTTTTAATATTAGAAAACAGACAGCAGAAATGTTGAGGCGTCGTGCTGCATATATGAGCGTCATCTTCACTGTGAGGATATTTATAACAAAACGGAGCCTATAACAACTGCCTCCTTTCAATTTCAGTGAAAATACGAAACGCACCCTCACTTTTGTTGAATATCAGTTTTAATAATCGACAATTATAAAAGTATCACATACAATAAGTTTATACATTGTAGGAATTAAAGGCAAGCGATCAGTCAATGTACCTGGATTAATCATTAACTTATCTTTGCGCTTAACCAAAACATGTTACTCGTGAAGTAACTTAATAGATTCCAATGACCAAAGTCAGGGAATTGGCCTATGTCGTTAGATAAAGACAACAACATGAATGAAATATCACGTTTAGCAAATATAGTGAGATTAGATCCAGCGGAAGATGCTTGATGAGCAGTCCGACAAGCAGAGCTCTCATCTGGGTAGAAATGCTGGAGCGCTTGCCCGAGAGTGTCTGTGGTCACGTGATGTGCGTTTTCAGCGTTTTGGTGTGGACGGAGAGCTGTTCAGAAACATTGGGTAAAACGCGAGTGTGGACGCGGATCGTTTTCATTCTACAACGCCGTTTTAAAACTAAAACGCACTCTTGTAAAAGGGGCTTTAGAGTTTTACAGCTCTTTTTGATCCCCGCTTCTAGCAGCACACTCCATTTCCGCATTACTGGATCTGTAGCGACAACAGACCGCAAGGGATGATGGGGATTGTAGTTTTCGCTACCTCCGGTTCGCTTCATTCGCCTGAGCAAATTTTCTCAGAAGACCTATAGTTTTACCGAGTCATGCGACTTCGGTAATATCGAAAAAAATTAATATTGCGGTATGACGGTATTTACAATACCGTTACATCCCTAGTATTTATATATATATATATATATATATATATATATATATATATATATATATATATTAATCATTATAATTAAACAATATAATTAAATATTTATAATAAGTTTAAAGTAAACATCAATTCATATACTATATATTTGAAGTGCATTTATATATTTCTTTTGATCAACCCTATTTTGAGGTAGTTCATTATGAGGCGATTTACCTTCTATGTGAGATTTGATTGGACAGGAATCACAGGACTGATTTTTCTGCTCACCATAAACAAGAAAAAATAAAGTAGTGATTGCAGGTTGAAGAAAAGTAGTTGAGTAAAAGTACTGATCACTGCACTAAACATGCACTCAAAGGAAAGTAAAAGAACACATTTTTAAAACTACTTACTAAATTACAATTCCTGAGAAAAAAAAACTCAATTACAATAATTTGAGTATTTGTAATTAGTTACTGTACACTACTGTACACTGTACACACCACTGACTATAACTAATTACTCTTTTAAAGGAACGTGCCCAACACTGGTTTGCAATGGCATGTTTTTATCTGTGGTCTGAAATATGTTAATATTCCTAGCCTGAAATGTCCTCAGTAAACTCTCACCCTTTTCGTACTATAAAGTGAGTCATTTGAATGATAGGTAATCCTTGTAAACATATAAATGAATGATCGATGCCCGTCAGCCTTTGAGGAACTGTTTAAATAGGGACATTTTTCCACTGGGAGTCAAGAGAAGGAATGGGTGGATGAATGAAGGATCAAGTCTTTCATACAAGCCACAACAAGTTTGGTTTTTAAGGCTTGCGTGGGTGTAAATACGCACATGCATCCCAGAATCCAGTCCTCTAGCATTACCTGCCCTATTCGCTTGGTAAGCGGCGTGAATTGTCTATTCCTGTTCACAGACACTTCTCTTCTCACGCTAAGGGAGCT